GTGTGTGTGTGTGTGTGTGTGTGTGTGTAAGGCAGGTGGTTGCATAATTTCTTAGACAGATAGATGGAATCTGTATATACAATAAGAAAGGAGTATGGTATCTTTTACATGTGTGTATACATGTATACATGTGTGCCTGTGCATGTACAGCCATGAATGCGTCTGTGTGTCTCTGTGACTGTACCCCATGTGCATGTGTGTAGGTCTGTGTCCTTCTGTGGTGGTCCTCACCAGATGCACTCTTCTATTGAACCATTCTCTATGGGGCCTCCTAAGGAGTCGTCCTGTTGCTGAAATCCTAGACTTCAGTGGAGAGAGGGAGGAGAGATCACAGGAGCAAGTGAGGTCAAGGTCATGATGGGGAAAACCACAGAGAGAGCTGACCCAAGCTGGTGGGAGCTCATGGACTCTGCCCGTCAGCTGGAGAACCTGCATGGGACCAAACGAGGCCCTCTGAATGTGAGTGACAGTTATGTGGCTAGATCTGTTTGGGGAGTCCCTGGCAGTGGGACCAGGACTTATCCCAGGTGCATGAACTGGCTTTTTGGAACATATTCTCTAAGGTGGGACACCTTGTCAGCCTGACACAGTGGGGAGGGGCTTGGTCCTGCTCCAACTTAGTGTGCCAGACTTTGTTGACTCCCCAAGACCTTACCCTCTCTGAGGAGTGGATAGAGGTGGGGTGGGGGAGATGGGGGCGCAGGTGGAGGGGAAGAAGGAAGAACTGGGATTGGTTTGTAAAATGAAAAACAAAACTTTAAAAATAAATAAATAAAAGAAAAAAAAGAAGTCATCCTGATGATCTTAGTTCCTTGTGTCTTAAATAAATGGACACAGCCACATGCCTCTGACTCTCAGGAATGTGGGGAAGATTTGGACAAACAAAACTCCACAATCCCTCATTTGCAGAAATACAAATACTGCTGCCAAAAGTCGAGAGCAGGCATTCCTGGACCATGGCTGAACAGGAAGCATGACAGTGAGGGAGAGGTGAGTTCCCGTAACAAATCCCTGCTTTTGGCTGCAGATGTGGGTTAGAAACAGGGAGAGGAATTGGGGCTTCATAAGGAGAAGCGTCTGAGCTACTGTGAAGATTTCTTGCTGTCAAGCGTGTGTGTTATGGCTGTGTAAAGGGAGACAGCTCGGTGGCCATGGCTGCGTGGGTAGGAGATGGTCCCTACCTTGCACATGTCTACCACCCAGTTCTCTTCTCCTTTGTCTATGAAGCCATGGATGATGAACCGAGTCTTCCTGGACACTTGAAAATTGGAGGCCTCAATGGTTGATGGGTCAGAGGGCTGGAGAACCTATGACAAACAGAAAGGGTTTCAGCTTTTTGCCAACCTGTCCCTCAAGCCTGGCTCTCCTCCTCTCCATCCTTGCCAGCCAGTGTATTGGCCTCTGCAGGCTGAGCACAAAAGTCAGCTCTTTAGGACACTCATCCTGACCTCTGGGTTACCATTTCTATGGGCTCGTTGCATAGTAAGCCCTGTGCCCAGACCAGAGCCACAGAGCTAGCAGGAGGATCCTGCAGCTGTGAACCATTCACTCATCCAGAAGGTGAGGCAGGGCATGGGTAGTAGGTATAAAGATAAGGGAATGTCACCCCCCCCACACACACACACACCCACCATAGTTCATGAAAAGTCTTACCTGGAAAGCATTTGGGTTCTCATTGGTGAAGAGCAAGAAGCGTGTGTTGATCTTCTCAGGGCTCCAAGGGAGAAGTTTTAGGGGCCTGATGGCTGTGCCTGCCCAGGGCTCAGTGTCAGAAAAGCATCCAAGGTCATTATAGCAAACCTCTTTTCCTGAGGAGACAGAACGGATAGGCTCAAGGAGAAGTTGTTGTGGCTGAGCTCCCAAGTACTTGCCTCATCTTCAGCAGAATTCACTGAGCCCTGAGGCGAGGGGTTGATGGAGACATCCCTTTTAGGGCTGAGTGTTCCAAGGTCTCTAACTCTGCAGATTGTCTGGCTGTGAGTCTCTGTATTTGTTCCCGGCTACTGCAGGAGGAAGATTCTCTGAGGATGGTTGTGTAAGGCACCCTAATCCAGAAGCTATTTCAAATTGATAGCCACTTGCAAATGAAAATCTAGTTTCCTCCAAAGGAGTCTCACTGGGGAAATAAACCACTCTTCAGGGCAGGCCCTGTGCCCAGCAGTAGACAGTCAACACAAAATGAACTCAACAGCATCTTTGGAGGTTCTTTGTCTCATGATGAATTTGTTTTGCAGATCGATTGTGGCGTCCAGTGGGGTTTTTACGGGTTCTTACCTGTGTGAACATGTGTGTCTCCGCGCCTGTGTGTAGGTTTTGTACTTTTCATTTGTCTCTCTTTCTTGTCTGATAAATTTGTTGTATTCTTATTTGTTTTTTATTTATTTTATTACTGTTATTCCTTACAATGCCTGTTTGTTTTCTAACAAGAGACATAAAGGATGTGGATCCAGATGGGAGGGGAGATGAGGGTGTACTGGGAGGAGTAGGGGGAGGAGAAAGGGTAATCAGAATATATCGTATGAAAAGAAATCTATTTTCAATAAAAGAAAAAACTGAAACATCCAAAAATCCCCTTTCAAAGTCTTCTAACATATTTGCAGAGCACCCCCTGCGAAGTCCACATTAACTAACTGAAAGTCCACTTGTCGCTTCTAGATGCTTTAGAATCGTTCCTCAAAAATTCAGGCTATAAGCTCCTCCGGGTATAGGGGGCTATTTCTCCCCCCCCTCAATTACCCAGCTCATGCTCCCAGGCTGTGAGTTCCGCCACCTTTCCCAGGAGCCTAGGAAAGTATGGGCTTCTGCAAGCTGTCTGGGATAAAGATTCTCCAGGCCTTGCTGAGAGTGTGGGAACTTTATTACTTCATACAGGGTTGTGGGGTCACTTACCTAGGGCTGCTCCCAGGAGGAAAAATGGGATTATCCAGAGCACCAGCATCTACAACAAGGTCAAGGACATCAAACATACACAGCCTGGGTCCACGAGCAAAGTCTCCCGGGAACTCAGGACTGTCTGTCTTACCTCTGCTTTTTAGCTGGTGGAGGAGCAGATTCAAAGGAGGAGGAGCTGTCTCCCCTGGAACCCACCAGGACCTTTTTATACTCCAGTCTTATCATCTGGATTCCAGTACAAGCAAACAGTGAGTGATGAGAACAGGAGCTATGTGAACTTCGTCCTTCAATCTGTACCTTGTGTGTATTTACACACAAGGTTGGGATGTCGGGCAGGTATTCCCACAACCCTGGGAAGATGAAAGCATGCTGGACAGAGGCACAAGAGCCTGGAGCTTTGCACTACGTGTCTGTGAGAATCCGTAGGAGCCAAGAGCCTCTGCTTTCCTGTTTCAGATTCACCACTAAGCAGTGTACAGGTGCACATAGATGCACTGAGATGGAAAGGGCGTGAGTTCAAGGACTGCCTGGCCTGAGGACAAAGTTCATGTCCAGCCTGAGTGACTTAGTGAGGTTCTGTCTCAAAATAAAAACAATAAAGATCCAGTTGTGCTCAAAGACAGAACGCTTTCTTAGCATGTGCAAGACCTTGGTTTCTATTTCTAGCATGACCACTCTCCCCAACCCACACCATCCCCCCAAAAGATGGCAGCAAACCTTACTAGCAGGGGGTTATTCTCTTATGTACAACAGATGGGAATGTCCTGGAAGAGTATAAAGTAAAGAGAAACATCTGTTAAGAGAATTTCTTCTTTAAAGTAGCCCCCCACTTGCAGACTAGAAACACCCAGGCACAAGAGCCTTGAAGACAAACTCATTGCTTGCCTCAGTATCTCACCACAGTCTCCAGCCCCATTAACATGTTGAGCAGTGAACCAATCTAAAATGCAGTACTTAAAGCAGATGCAATGGTTGTACTGTCTCATTGTAACTTGAACAGTTGGGGTTCAGGGTCCCCCAAATCCCACACCAGCAGTCTACAGCATGTCAGTTTTGTTCTCCTGCACAGCTGCAAGACAGACCTGACCTCATTCACCTTCGGGTTTGTGCACCCATGAGCAGCTGGCCAGTTCCCACAAGGCAGATAAGCCTTCACAGAGCAAGCGTATAGAGGTCCCAGACGTGCCCCTAAGTTAAATGTTTCCATGTCAAGTTCACACACCAAAATAGCCTAAGAAATGGGGTAAAGGCCATAGGCCCTCATGTTAAGAAAGCAGAAAGGGAACCCACCCACGCCCAGAGTAATGAAGAGTAGCAGCCAGGATAGGGATATAAAGTAATTGTCTACCACGTACGAAGCTCTGGCTTCTACCCTTAGCACCGTACACATAGGAAGTACACACCCAACCCCCCACACTAGAGAGGTGAAGTCTCAAAAGTTCCAAGTCCTCCTTGACTACCCAGCAAACCGAGGCCAACCTGGGCTGCCCGAGACCTTGTCAAAAAACAGAACAGGGACAGCAGCCTCTAGTCACCATGGTTCAAGCACAGCTAGTCCTCCAAATGATCTCATCTAAGCCTGACAGCAGCCACACCAGGCGGGACTTATTGTTCACTTCCCTTTACAGATGTGGAAACTGAGGCACAAAGAAATAAATCACCCAGCTAAGGAGTAAAGACACAAACCCATTCATCACCCATTTATCATGTTGTTTTTTTTTCCTGTAATTTTGGGGTCAAATATAAGAAATCTTTGTCTAGGCAAATGTCGTGAAGTACTTCCCTTAAAAGTTATGAAGCACTTCCCATATATTTTCTACTACAATTTTTATGGTTTTAGCTCTTAAATTGGAGTCAGTATTATTTTATGTTCATTGTTATGTATGCTGGAATGTAATTTTTGAATTACTTTCTTTTTTGTTTGGAAATATTTTTCCCTGAAACAGTCCAGGACATTTTATTAAAGAGAATTTTCATTTTCCAGTATATGCTTTTGGTTCCCTTCTCAAAAACTAGCAGTCTGTAGATCCAAAATTCTTACAAATGCTCCATTCTGCTACTCTAGTTTAGGTGTCTGATTCACGCCAACAGTATGGTGGTTCTACAGTACTTACGACTGCTTCAACCTAACCCTTTCCCTTCTCTTTAAATCTAGAATCTACCACCACCCAAGTGTTGGTGTAGATTTGAGGCAAGAAAATCAAATGAGGGCAGATAAAACACAGTAGCCATAGATGAGCCATAGCCCTATAAACAGAGGGAAAAGCAAGTATTTACCTGAAGGCTAGGAGGAGCTTCAGTTGGATGGGTAAGTCTGTCCAGAGGTGTCAGATCATGAACCTGTGTGGTGGGGCCCTGCCATGGCTTGTTACTGTGTGAGGGAAGCCTCACATTTTCATTTGTACTGAGTGAACACAGAGCTTGCAGGAACATTACTTTGGAGTAATGGTTTGGTTATGGACTGTGCCGGCCTAGAAGAGGAGGCTATTGCAGAACTGTACCTTCCTACAAAATTTATTTAGCAGTAGTTATAAACATGCACTGTTAGAACCAGACAGAACAGAGTTATGCATGCTACATGTCACGTAATCAAATTGAACAGTGAAGTGGGCCAGTTTTCTTTTCAATAAAACAGGAGTTGTTAGTCAACCTAAATAACCACAATAAGGAAGTCCCCCTGTTTTAGCTACACAAGGGAAATAACCTTGAAATGACCAACCCATGCTGTGTTTCCTGGTTTTGTTTTGTCAGCCCTTTTATGTCTGTAAATCCAACTCATCAGGTCAGAATCTATTCTTGAATTGAAATTTGCTTTGAAATATTACATCTGCATTCTGTTTTATTGGTGTCAACTCTTGACATATCATAGCCACCTCTTCCTCACACATTCCATAATAGTTCTTACTCTCCTCTCATGGTCTCCCCACATTAAGAGTCTTTATATGAGAGAAAATATGCAGGTTTGTCTTTTTGAGCCTGGCTTATTTCATGTAGCACAGTCTTCTTGGGTTGCAAGAAAATTTTCTTCATGTCTGATTGTATATAGGTACCATGTTTTCATTGTATATAGACACCATGATTTCATTATTCATTGGTTGATGGAGGACAGCTTGTTCCATCCCTTAGCTCTTATAAATAGTGTTGTAATAAACATGAATATGCAAGTTATCTCTGTGGTATACAGACTAAGAGTCCACTGTGTGCTTAGCAGTAGTGGTATAGTTGGATCATATGCATTTCTATCTTCAGATTTTTGAGCAATGTACTCTCATTTACATAGTGGCTGCACTAGTTTACACTTCCGCCGGTAGTGTGCAAGTGTTTCTTTTTCCTGACATCCTTCCCAGAATTTGTTTTCTTGATGATAAGCATTCTAACTGAGGCCAAAGAGAATCTTTTTTTAATTAAAATATATTAAAAACTTTTTTATGTATGGGTGTTTGCCGTATGTATATATGTTCACCACTTGTCTGTATCTGTGAGCGTATTCCTATATTCTACATCGTTGGGTTAATGCTTATGTTTGTGCCAGTGCCATGCTGTTTGCATTACTGTGGCTCTGGAGTATAGTTTGAGACCATCAACTGTGATACTTTCAGCCTTGTTTCTGTTCAGGATCGCTTTGGAAATGATTTTATGTTTCTATGTGAATGTTAGGATTATTTTCTACTCTTGGAAGAATGTTAATGGAATTTTGAGGGAATTGTGTTGACAAGAGATTGTCTTTTTAAAATAAGAAACACAGAGCCAATGTAAAAGAGAAAGCCGAGAGGTCAGAGCTCAGAGATAAAATCTTACCTCCTGCAGTGCTCCTAGCTTCCCCGAGAGAGGGAGGTTCCTGTGTCTCT